CTATTGATTACATAGTGAAAATGCATTAATTCTTTGAAAATCTTTTTCTCTGCTCCCTGGTATTATTTAAACAAACTAAGTGCATGATAATAGTGCACAAGGATGATTTTTCCAAAATTGTGAAATTCATGGCCCCAGGGTTAGGGGTTCTGGTAGTAGGGCAGGGCTCTATTGATTGTATAGTGAAAATGCATTAATTCTTTGAAAATCTTCTCTGCTCCTGGATATTATATAAACAAACTAAGTGCATGGTTATGATAAGCATTGATGCCTTTTTCAAAATTGTGAATTTCATGGCCCCTGGGTCAGGGGTTCTGGTGGTAAGGCAGGGCTCAATTGATTATATAGTAAAAATGCATTAATGCTTTGAAAATCTTCTTCTCTGCTCCTGGATATTATATAAACAAACTAAGTGCATGTTTATGATAAGCATTGATGCCTTTTCCAAAATTGAGAATTTCATGGCCCCTGGGTCAGGGGTTCTATTGATTATATAGTAAAAATGCATTAATTCTTTGAAAATCTTCTTCTCTGCTCCTGGGTATTATTTAAACAAACTAAGTGCATAGTAATGATGCACAAGGATACTTTTTAACCAAAATTGTGAAATTCATGGTCCCGGGGTGGGCGTTCTGGTGTTAGGGCGGGGCTATATAGATCATATAGTGAAAGTGCATTATGTCTTTGAAAAATCTTCTTCTCTACTCCTGGGTATTATTGAAACAAATTGAATACATAGTTATGATAAGCAAGGGTGACTCTACCAAAATTGTGCAATTCATGGCCCCTGGGTCAGGGGTTCTGGTGCTAGGGCGGGGCTATATAGATCATATATTAAAAGTGCATTATTTCTTTGAAATGCTTCTTCTCTACTCCTGGGTATTATTGAAACAAATTGAATACATAGTTATGATAAGCAAGGGTTACTCTACCAAAATTGTGACAGTCATGGCCCCAAGGTCAGGGGTTCTGGTGCTAGGGGGAGGGGGGGGGTCTATTGATAATATAGTGAATCTGTAGTAAAAATGCATTTTTTTTTTTTGGAAAATCTTCTCTGCACCTGGTCATATCAGAGGCAAAAAGAGTAAAAGTTTTAATAAAGATTTTTGAACATCTGGACCATTTGGTCAAGTGTTCTGGTCCTGGCCAGGGCTCTTTTAATTTGTATTCAACTGAGAGGAGTTATTCCCCTTTGTCATTTACTTTTGATAATTAATCGCTGTAAATAATGTACTTGAAAGGTTAATAGAATAGGAGAAGTATGCAAGATTTTTTATTGTATAATACATAAAGTACTTTTATAGTTTAAATGATTAGGTAGATTTGTAAGTAATAGAAAAATTAAAAAAAAAAAGAAGGAAATTGAAGAAATAAGAAAAAATAAAATGAAAGGTCAGTGCATTAGATCTCGAGTTAAATGGGTTGAGGAAGGGGAAAAACCGACAAAGTATTTTGCAAGTTTAGAGTCTAGAAATTATATCAGTAAACAAATCCCAAAAATTATCAAAGAAGATGGATGTACGATATCCAATCAAGAAGATATTTTAAATGAAACAAAAAGATTCTATGAAAATTTATATAAAAAAAGAGAGAGTGTGGAAACAGATGATAGTATTTACACTAGATTAAAAGATTATAATATACCCAGACTAAGTGAAAGGGAATCAGCAAGTTTAGAGGGACCAATAACTAAGGAAGAAGTTTTATATTTTTTGAAAAATATGAAAAATGATAAAAGTCCGGGACCGGATGGATTTACATGCGAGTTTTTTAAATTCTTCTGGAAAGATATTGGTACATTTGTGACAAGGGCAATAAATAATGCTAATGAATCAATGCATTTTTCAGATGCAAATAGATTAGGGATTATTACTTGCATACCAAAAGCAGGAAAACCAAGAGAATTTTTTAAAAATTGGCACCCCATTAGCCTTTTAAATGTTATTTACAAACTAGCATCTGGGTGTATAGCTGAGCGAATAAAAAAAGTCTTAAATAAATTAATACATACAGATCAAACTGGATTTTTAAAAGGAAGATATATTGGAGAGAATATTAGATTGATTTATGATATAATGGATTATACAGAATGCAATCAAATTCCAGGATTACTTATGCTTATAGATTTTGAAAAGGCTTTTGATACTATCTCATGGAATTTTATTTACGAAACACTTGATTTTTTCAATTTTGGAACCTCAATTAAAAACTGGATAAAGACTTTTTATAGCAATATTAAATCCTGTGTCATACAAAATGGTTTTATATCTAATTATATATATCCAGAAAGGGGTTGTAGACAGGGGGATCCTATATCACCTTATTTGTTCTTACTATGTGCTGAAATATTAGGTATTTTAATTCGCAAAAATAAAGATATAAGAGGTATAACAATAGACGGAGAAGAGTACAAGATTTCTCAATATGCAGATGATACATCACTTATCTCTGATGGATCACCTGAATCTATGGATGGAATTCTTAGAGAATTAGACTAATTTGCGAAGGTGTCAGGACTCAAAATAAATTTTCAAAAAACAAAAATGATATGGATTGGTAGTAAAAAATTTTCAAAGGATGTATATCACCATTCTAGATGGAAGTTAGACTGGAGTAGCACAACTTTTGATCTTTTAGGGATTAAATTTTCAGTAGACTTACATAATATGATTAATCTCAATTATACATCAAAGTTAAGTGAGATTAAAAAAACATTAAATCAGTGGAAAGTAAGAAAGTTAACCCCCATTGGTAGGTTAACTGTAATTAAAACATTGATTATCCCTAAATTAAATCACTTGATACTTACTCTACCTAATCCATCATTAGAAATTGTAAAAGTATTTGAGGATGAAATTTATTCTTTTCTTTGGGGAAGTAAAGTCCATAAAATAAAAAGAAATACTATCATTCAAGTCTATAGAGATGGTGGCCTTAGAATGGTAGATTATTCAGAGTTTATGATAGCATTAAAATCAAGTTGGATAAGAAGATTAATCCATTCAGATTCCAAATGGGTAAAATTACTTCAAGCACAACTACATACAGAGATTAAAAATCTTTGGTTAATGGGTCCAGATTTTATTGCTAAATTATGTAAGAAAATAACAAACACTTTCTGGATAGAAGTCTTTAAAAGTTGGCTTAAGATATGTCTTGTAGAACAACAGAAAGATACAAATTTATTCCAAGAACACACATGGTATAATCCAAAAATCATCATGGGCGAGTCTTCTATCTTTCTTAAAAGTTATTTTAATGCTGGTTTTGTTTTCATCAGTGACTTATTTGACTTTGATAATAATTTTTTAAGCCTCGACACCCTTAAAGATCTCAGTGTAAAAACAAATTTTGTTGAATATTCTGGCTTGAAACAGGCAGTGTTAGATAGATTTGTGAACAAAAACCAAATAAATATGTTGATTTCGTATGTCCCAAATATACCCAATTCTGTGAAGATGTTTTATATTAATGTGAAAGGATGTAAAGATATGTATAACTTTCTTATTAATAGAAAGAAAGAAACAAGTACTTCAATTTTAAAATGGAATGAAGATGGATATTTATTCACTTTGCCTGAATGGAGTAAAATTTTTGAACTCCCATTTAAAGTTACACAAGAATCAAAACTTCAGTGGTTACAATTTCAAATTTTACATAGAATAGTTCCAACAATTTCATATCTTTTTAAACTTAAGATAAAGGAGTCCCCAGCTTGCAGTTTCTGTAAGAATGACATTGAGTCAATTGACCATCTTTTTGTTGAATGTTATTTAGTAAAAGAGCTTTGGAATGATATTGAAGAGTGGTTTCTGTCTAAGTTTAACATATCTGTAGTTTTTGACAAAACAACAATATTATTTGGTAAATATAAGAACAGGGATACACATAAAGTGCAAAATTTAATTACTCTGATAATTAAAAATTACATTTTTTCAAGTAAATATAAAAACCATCCACTGTTAATTACAATAACTCTAAAAACAATTATTGTGGAAAGAATCTTGATTGAGAAATTTTTACTATTGAAACAATGTAAATATATAGAGTTTGAAAATAACTGGCAGAGAATATGTGAAATGTTATAATTTATATGTATATATGCAAATTTTTTAAGGAATGAATGTTGCTCATTACCACCTTAATGTAAAAAAAAATACTATGCCCCCTTCTTTATTATATTAATTTATTTATCTTTTTCTTGTTTTTTTTACTTTCTCCCTCCTTTTCCTCTATTTCTTCTTTCTTCTTTTTCTTCTTCCTTATTAAACCAACTTTCACATAAGTGTATGTGTGTAAATGTATATCTAGGTATGTAAATGTACTCTGTATATGGTATTCTTAATATGCACATGAGTGAAGATATACGCTTATTTGATATAAATGTGAAAGCTGAAATAAATATTTAAAAAAAAAAAAATAGATAAATAAAAAATGAGTCAAAAATAACTTGTCTAATTCAATGTTCATCAAAGACCAAAAGAGTCCAATGTAAGAGATTTCATCAAGGAATTAAAATAGTACAGAATCACTGATAATTTGTTAATATACGGTATGGTGATAGTGATAAATGGGGAACAGATTAGAACCTAATTTATGAACTGTTAATGAAAACTAGACTAGTTATTTTGTTGATCCTGATCACCCTATTTTTCTTGCTTTTGGGCAACAAAGCTTCACCTTTCAGTTCCTTTTATACTCTATGGAACCTCTAAATTGTTGTATTATACTCAGGTGACCATTAAGGCCCTTGGGCCTCTTGTTTACAAGAGTACTACAGCAATAGATGATGAAACTCTAGAGTTTTCAGCATATGAAACCAGCCTTTTTTCTTGGATTTTTGTTAAAAATCTAATTTGCATAGTTGTTTGTACCTGAGTTACCTCTCTTTGAAGAAAGAAATGCAATAAACCCATACATACAACAGAAAGCACTGAAAGTTGTACATGCTTTTATGTTTTCATAGTCATAAAATGATTCTGAAGAGACTGAATATTTTTTTAATTTCCTGTCACTCTTGGTTTTCCTGCTGTTTTTTCTGATAGCTGAGTTCTTACCCCGTTTTCTTTGTCTCTCTGGTAAGCTAATAAAATGTGCTGAAAATGAAGAGCTGTTTCAGCAATTTTGTTTACAGTAAACTTGGATAAAATCTTATTATCAATAAGATTTTGCAATGATTGCATGTTTCTCATTTTCATCATCAAAAAATTCAAATTATCTACAACATTACCTACAGAATTATCTATAGAAAAACTATGCTTCATCATTATCTGACATGAAACTGACAAAGACAATAAAAGAGTTTGTAAGGCCAAGGCATCAGATTTGGCATCATGAGCATCATAATGAGTCACACACAGGTCCTTCAGCAAGTCTACTTGTTTATAACTCTTGCGGCCTGGGTAAAGTTCTCTAAGTAGAGATAATGTGTCCACAAACCCACTTATGTGTTCTGATGCACTAATACCGATGGAACTCAACACATGCACTAGAACTCGAGAGTCAAACTTGGCATTATGAGCCACAAGCAATACTTTCCCAAATTTTCCAAGCCAGTGTATAAAATTGTTCACTGCATCTGGTGTCCTCATACACTGAACTTCATGTCCATTTTTGTACATGCAGCCATTCTGTGTAGCAATACCAGACACAGCTGTGGCAGAAGCAGAAATTGGTTGAGTCAGTGGCAAAACATACTGACAAAACACATCATCATTGACAACAGAGGCCCCGATCTGTGTTATTTCACAATTGTCACCTGCAAAACAAAATTCAATCCATGGGAATAGTAAAATAAATGACAGAAATTTCAATTTGAGTTATTTTTGTAAAACTGATAATTACCTAAACCAGTAGTTTCTAAGTCAAAATATACAAACGTGTATTGACCTTCAGTAATAGGAGTAGGTACAGGTTTTCTCAGAGGTGGAGGTATTTCCTTGATGCTGTTTGGATCAGTATTGTTGTTCATATCTGTGTCTGGTTCGTATGTTCTTCCTTCCCTCACTTCTGCCGACTCTTGTGATTTATGCTGGTCCATCTTTTTCTGTGCCCTTTTTTTCTTGTAAGTACTTGTATCTTCAGTTTCTTTAGTTCTCTTCCTTTTCAAATCTATTTTTCTGGCTTTTGAAGAAGTAATTTCACCTGGGGATAATAGGAAGACTTCATTGACCTACAATGAAATGAAATGTAATTGATTTGAAACTTTACAATTGCTTTTATGAAATAATAAATGAATATACAAATTTTATACCTCTGTAACATAATGATGACCCAATTTTTTTGGGCAATTGCAGCTGCAACACGGAAATCATTGCTTTCTGATCCTGAATAAAAGTTTTGTTTTGGAGTCTTGCTAGCAATGGTATTGTTAAGGCTTTCATTAGGTTGTGTACTGCCCAGGTCTACTAGTTTATCTGCCTGTGATGTGTACAAGCTGAGTAGAGATGTCAAATCACTCTTTAGATCTTGGTTGTTCAGATATCTGTGGTATGGTAATTGCCAAGGCTTGTATGTTAGTGGTGAAGCTAAATATTTACACCAGGATTCACAGAAACTGTGATCACCAAAAACATGTCTTCCAATTGCCTCTAAGTTTTTCTTCATACCCGAGGGATCATTCTCATTTTGGGAAATGCAATATTTGAAACATTTTGACATATGTTAAATTGTCTTACTATTTAATTCTTTGCAGTTATTAGATTTTTTCAACTCGTATAGCTTATTTGTAAATTGTTTTAGAGTATGATTTCTATCACATTGCTTCTTTAGGGCCGGATTTATATCAGCTCTAGCTCTCGCTACTGTTGTGGAATCGTTATCCATAATTATGTTTCCAATATGAATGTTGCTATCCTGAAGTTCCTTCATCATACCTGTTATGATAATATTCTAACATGAACAATAGAAAAAATCAAAATGATGTTCACTGACTCATACAATCATGTGAAAAAATTTTGTTGTGTTTTTACATTTACATTTATCATGTTGATATTTTGTATAATACCAAGCATATCAGACTTTATACAAAAAACACTATACAATTATTTTAGCTATACACATGTCTGGTTCCATTACCTTAGAACTACCTGACCCATTATTCCTGCACTTATGTTCAGGGATATCTTTTTAGTCCTCTCTGCCCTTTCACACACTCTGCAGAACTTGTTTCTTGTTGCATAGGCAATGCATTTTCCCGTCTCTTTACCTATCATTGCAGCATGTTCTACAATTTAGATGATTTTATTTAATTTTGATCATGGTCTTATGGCATAACAATAGATATATAATACTTGGGTTTTTATACATCCATTCTTCAAAGTCATTCCAATATACATATATGTTATGGAAAAATCTTTATAGATATATATCTCTGCAAATTACTAATTTTTCAAACCTGACAAACTTGAATAAGATCGCCCTGAACCTCTTTTCTGCCATCCTCCATCGAAAGAGACTGAAAAGTCATCATTGCTGCAAAATCAAAAATGAAATGAAAGAAATAATGTTTCAGATTGTAAATTGACAAAATAAATAAAATAAAAATAAATTATTCAAGAAATAAATGCACAATATTTTGATGAATACATGTATATATCAATTGCATGCATTACTGATAATTACAGTTCTCATATTTATATAGCCAGAGATATTTTATTATTTGCCTAGCAATAGTTTATTAACAAAATTATATACACCATTTCCTTTCAAATGTGTGGGTCATAACAAAGAAATATGAGGACAGAATATATCAAACACTGGTCCTGTACAAAGATTTATTAGTATTACCAAAATGATTCCTGCTCTGCATTAGCAAACTCTTTACAACTTTTTTTGGCAACATCTTCAACTGCTCGACCAACTTCTCTTTCAGATGTTTTCAAAGAGGTCTTTGATAGTGGTGGGATGTTCAATACACTTAGAAGCATAGATAATTTTTTTCTCGCCAATGCCTGCATGGAGCATCCCTGCAATGTAATAAAAATTCTCTCAAGATACCATAATAAATATAACTGTACTCTAAGATGATACTTTGATCATATGAAGATGAATGATAAAATCAGTATTTAATAGTTACAAACCTAGTGCAACTTTTGTGTTCACATCAAATGCTCGTATCTCATTATTGTCCGAGCGAGAATGGCGTTTTCCTGTGGGAACATAGTTTACTGTGGTACAGAAAGTACACTTGATATGTAATAAGGAACCTAGTCCATATCTCTGTTCACCACAAATGTCTCTCAAATTCAAAGATTGTTTACATTTACAACAACCCTCTATAAGTTTATTCACAATAAATTCCAATTCAACAATTCTTCTTCCTGTGTTCCACTCTATGACATGTGATGTATCTTCGTCATCAATAAGCACTGGAACTACTTCCTCTTCACAGTCTCCATATATTGATAGATCGTAGGCATAGTTATGCTCCAAAATGTGGATTGGATTTTGGAAATCATCATCTCTCATAAATTTACCATAAATAACCAAGGGCATAAAAGAATGAGTAACACAAAGATATCTAAATGCTTAAGAGTGTTTTCTTAAACTTCAATCAATGAAGTATTTAGCCCTTCTTTGTTGTTTACTTATACGTCTATTATACGATATTTGCAAGTACATGTACACAAATCAAGATAACTTACTTGGAATAGGCAGTGGATCGTCAGGATCAGCTAGAGAATTTGTAGAAGGGACCTCAACTGCCACATTTTTCTGCCTATTACATTTAATCGATGTTATTTTACTTTGTTTTCCTTTGGAGATAAATCGCCCTCCTTTGTCGCGAATTTTCTCCATCATAAACAAAGATATCCTAAAACTATCTCTACGTACGAAAGAGCTCTCAAGGGACGTAATCGAAAGTAAAAATCGAACCCAATTCGGGAAATATTACGGAATCATTATTGGAACTCTTTATTTTTAGGAGATAGAAAAAATGAAGTAAAAACTACGTTGCGTCTGTCCTTAAAGGCAGTACAGAAACCCTAAATAGGCAACATGAATTTAAATATTACACATGCATATCAAATATAACAAGAATATGTTTTTTTTTTCAGTATCCCTTTTGTAATTTTCATAGAATTGTAGTATCTGTGCGACTGTCCCGTGGTACGACTTATTGTCTGTATTACTTAAGACGGCGGGACAGTCACACGGACCTCTTCTACACGTGGATGCCGAGCTGACAGGACGTGTCAGGGACAGCAGCAGAGCAGAGAGTCGGCCCGGGCCAGAACCTACGGATCTGTATATGTGTTTGTATATGTGTTAATAAATATTAGTAAAGAACCTCAAAGACTTTACTGGCGCCCAACTCGCGGGGCCCGGGAGATTCCCGTACTGCTGTCAAAGTTGTTTTTTTTTTTCAGGCATCGTTTTAGCCGCCATTTTTGGTGCTGCTAGGTATGTGAGAGCACGTGTTGGTTTTTTATGTATTTCTTGAATCAACTTTCAGAATTAATTTGTATTGTCTGTGATTTTATCTGATTTATTGTGATATTTTATTATGGATATGTCGGTAGAGGAAGCCGTGTCGGCTTTAGGCCTGGGCACTCGCCCGGCTGACAGGCGGTCAGACAATTTCAATTTTCGTTCTCCGTGTAGGATGGGGGTATACCCCGGGGAGGGGGGTTATTCACCATACGCTTTTAGCGGGAGTGAGCATTTTGCCTCCCGTCACACACCTTTTGCTCAGTCAATGTCAGGCCACATGGGAGGGGGGTTGCCCCTGGGGGGCCCCTCTACACCTCTGCCCGGCCTGCACTCGGGCATCCCCTGTGGGGAGGGTAGTGTATTACATGGAGAGTCAGAAAAAGAGGTAAGGTTTGCCCAGAATCAATTTGGCTCACCAGGGATGACGACCAGTGATTCCCTGGAGGCCTCTCTAGGTAGCCCGTGTAGGTGTGGCTCACCTGGTAGCACTGTGGGTTGTAGCCCACCTAAACAAGAATATAGTGAGGCCCCTTCAAATTCAGGGTTAGAGCATCCATATTCTTTAGGGCATGTGCATTCAGTTAGTAGCCACCCTGTCCTTGTGGGAGACACAGCTAACCTGGGGGGCCCTGCTACTATGGGTTATAGACCAAGCCGCTTGGACGAGGTTGTACCACACCCACTTGACCCCACCCTTCCGTCCCATACACCGTGTGTTAGTCAGCAACCTGAGAGGCCTATGAGGCCTGCACAGCTCACCTCCGAGTATGATCGTCAACATGTGAGGCCCGTAGATCCTGTAGGGCTCACCTGGGACCCTGCAGCCATACAGAGCCAACCTAGACTAGCAGATTTTGGTGCGCCCTTTCTCCCTGGGGATGATTTGCAACCCCGGAGCTCAATGCCACGCACTATATCTGCCCCAGCCCCTGTAAATGTTGGAGTGTCACCAGCAATGGTTCATTTACAAGTAAATCCTTTAGACACTGGTGTGACTGCTGCCAGACCCCAACCTACATCATTGTATGCTAGTTCCCCAAGCACACCTTATCATGTGCCCCAATCAGTGTACATCAATCCGGGGGGTAGGCATGCCCAACCCCCAGTACCCGACCACACCCAGTCTGTGTTGTACCGAGGCGAGAGTACTCCAGCCACACTCCATGGTATGGCTATGCCCAATGCACTGCAGCACCATAGTGTTCCTGTGTCAATGAATTGTAGTCCTGCCCATCCCGATACCCCAGCCTGCCATTTTGGAAGGGAGGGGGAGAGGATAGTACATGTTCAACCTAACATGTATGGGGCAGCCCATCCGGGATACTATGCTAGTCAGTCAGTCCGGGCTAACCAGGCTTGCAACTTTAGTACACCAATACATTATGGCTCACCTGGTTACCAGGGCACCACACCATACCCAGGTAGGGCAGCCACTGGGGGTAAGCCCCGGTATAAGGACCTTAGGTATGATGGTAAGACCAGTTGGAAGGCATTTTTGCACAAGTTCGTTAGGTTATCTCGCAGCCAGCTATGGACAGAGGAGGAGCAGCACGACCAGTTTTGTTTCTGCCTTGAGGGGGCAGCAAGCGAATACTACACCTTGCTGTTAGAAACCAGTAGCCAGCTCCACCTAGGTGAGATCTTGCAGAGATTTGAGAAGCGTTTTGGCTCCTCTGCCCCCGATCTCACTCATCAACTCAACTTCCAGGCTGCCAATCAGAATCCAGGAGAGTCACTTCGTCAGTGGGCAGACAGGGTGCTGACCTTGGGAGTCGGCCCGGGCCAGAACCTACGGATCTGTATATGTGTTTGTATATGTGTTAATAAATATTTGTAAAGAACCTCAAAAGACTTTAGAATATTACAAGAAATCCACCAATTCATAAAAAGGCAATACATCTTTTTGAAAACAGAAAACTGATTTTTGAGCAGTCTTTTGTTTTCATTAATATTTTTTTTATGATTTCTTCTGTATATATGTTGTTTCTATATCTGCAAAAGCTTAACTATCCATAGGAGTCTGTAAAATGTTGTGTTAGTGCGTAATAGGAAACACTTTATTGCATATTTATAGTTTTACAAATTGGAATTCACTGTGTAAGATTTAATCATAGCATTGTCTAATTTCTATTGCTAGTTTAACGGCATGATGGATGAGCATATCATGTTGATTGATTCTTCTGTGAAATCGTGATTTTTCCTGAAGGCTATATTCGTGGAACATTATTCGTGAAATTCGTCGGTACCCTTCATCCACGAACTTGCACCCACCACGAATTTATATACTAGGGTTTCAAAGTGACATTTCTTTTTGTAGATATGAGGATACGAGTTAATACTCGAAATTACGTCCCTACAAACCTGTAAAATTAAAGGAATCCACGAAAATTTGCCTCATGAATTTTGATTACACAATATTTTGTTTAACCTCATTCAGTATGCAGCAATATGTGACATAGCATACGTTTAGTACATTTTTATAGGGCCAGAATAACAGACAGTACCAAGTAAGCTCTTTCTTTTGAAATTGAGTCAATGATTCTGCGTTATTGTTATAAATGCGGTCTTTATAAGTAGCGTATTCCATCGTCTTTCATATTCTCCTGTCCATCAGATGACATTAGACCATATAAACCAGGGTTCCGTATCGCAGTAGTTGCTGGTACGAAAAGATCCCCCACAGCTCAAAGTTAAGGTCCAAATTTTAGCCTTCACGGGCAACTGATGGCTTCTCAGTAGGAGTAAAAAATTCTCGAAGGAACAATAAACAAACATTCATTTACCAAAACGAATTTTCTTAATGGGTCTGTTTTCCTTTTGATTGTTTGTCATAATTCAATATTAGGACGTTCTTAACCGTTAATTTGAGTTTTGTCTATTGAATATTGCATTCTCCTGATCTGCTCTCGAAATTCGGACCCATTCCCAATTGAAAATAAGTTCAGTGTTTTCCAGTATTTTTTCCCAATTGCTGAACAATGCTTTTATATTTAATTATCTTGGAAAAACACAAAGGAAAATTGTCAGATTGTCTGTAATTTTCACCTATTTAACTCGTTTAGAAAAGTTACAGTCATAACGCTTGTTTAAAAACACTGTAAAAACATCGCCAACTTTTAATCCGAATTTCCTCAGTTTTTCTGAAAATAGTGATATTGTGTAATTATGTAGATTTATTAAGCTATTTCCACCTACTCAATTGATCTTCGAGTGAATGGTAAGGACAAAGGTATTATTTCAGATTGAAAAATATATTTTCAATGCATTAAATTAAATACATATTAAAAGAGGACTTTAAGAAAATGTGTTCTTGGTATATTTTTTGCAGGAGGTATATTATCTCCAGAAACAGATTCGATAATGAACTTTGGCACATTAAGTTGTACTTCCTGGTTAAATGTTTATGGCTAGTGCAGCGTGGCTGTTTTTGAAGGCATCTAGTTGATTTACTGAGTTTGAAACGTGATTTACAGGAATATACTGTTCTCTTATGAAAGTCGCTGCCAGCATGTCTTTACAGGGGTACATGTACCAAGAGTAGTGTGAAAGGTTGATTGCTTCCATCTTTTTTGTGTTGAATGATCGCATTAGCATTGTTCAGCTGGTTCTGGATTGATTTCCTGGAACTACCTTTTTTTGTTTTAAGTCACTCCGAGAATTTTTCACTCATATTTTTGAGACGCCACAACTTGCCGATGTAGGTCTGCAAATTCAGAGTCGGCACTTGCGGTCTTTCAATGGTGAGGGATAATTTTTCATGCTAGCACCTAATGCGACAAGGGACCTCGGTTTAAAGTCTCATCCGAAGGACGGGTCAGTACGTCACGAAGTGGGATTCGAATCCTCGACGTTGGGATCAATTCCTTACTTCGCGACACGAGCTAACGCTCTATACCCACTGCGCCACGTGGCCGACGTATAAAATTTAGACCTAAAAATACAAAATCAAAATTAAATATTTAGAAAGTTACCACATTGGCCCAGCATTCTTTTGAGTTGAAAGCTGCATGCTTCTTGATCCAACCACTAATGATGTAAATTTCCTTGTTTGCTCTGCTCCCGATTTGTATTGTTTGAATGGACGTATGAGTCTGAATACTGTTCGTTAGCTCCATATTTCATTGCCGTTAATTTTGTGTTTCTGCGGTGTTATTTTTATTGTAGTTTATTACATTGCTACAAATCCACCATCCACAGTAGCCTACTTGCACATCTGTTTTTCCAGAAAATTTAGTAAGTGAGGAGGAGACTATCTCTCTCTCTCTCTCTCATTTTTATTGTTTTCATGTGAAAATAGCACCCTGCATAAGAAGCAGTCAAGCTTTCACATAGTCTTGATCTGAGAATTTCTTCACCTTTGAAGGATCATGTTTTGAACAAGAGACATTTCTTTGGTCAGTTGCTTCAAAAATGTTAAACAATGCTGGCAGAAAAGATACTTATCTGCACTGTAAAGGTTTGTCATCTTTTGACCGTGTTCATTTAAGTTCATATCATTTTTGAGATAACTAATCACCGAGACTTCTGTACTTGTCTACCTACATCTTTCTCTATTTTCACGGCTTCTGTGCGTGCTCATACTAATTGTCAGCCCATTGTCTACATACTGAAATTCCTACAGATTCTCCGTTACCCTATCACAACAAATAATAATCATTTCATAAAAATTTCAAATTGGAAAAAAAAAACGTTGAACACAATTGTCGTGGTGTAAAAGTTGCCTTTGGCACTAAACTAAAAAAGAAAAAAAAACATCCACCACAATTGATAGGTGTGAAAATGCGACCGACACACATTTGAATGAAAATGAAGAATGACTTTACTTTACCGGTCCCCAGAAAAACCCAGATAAACGCGCTAAAATACAGTGACGCCGTAGGTGACTTCTGTATGTATATATGAGATCGCGTGAGCGATCGACAAAAATTAAAAGTATGAGGTTTTTAGCCTTTTTGACCCCAAAATCGAATACTACAGTTAAAAGTTTAGTTTAAAACTTCGTTTTCAAACAAAGTTTTTAACCTCGTTCTCTGAAAAAAAGTGATTAATATTGTTTATTCAGTGTAAAGGAGACAAAAAATAATTGTCAACGAAGCTCGTGTGGCGCACGCTTAGTGCCGTTTCTTTCGTACTTAGCAAGTTTTTTCATGTAAACAAACCAAAGAGATGTCGTTAAAGCTGAATTAAGATCTTACAAAAAATACAGATGCAACTGAATTTCTTAATCTAAAAAACAAGACACTAACCCTAATCCCTCGGATGGTATGCGAGGACTAACCCAAATCTCCCGGGCGGATGCTGGACCAATACATGTGAGAGGACTAACCCTAATCTCTCGGATGGATGCGAGACTAACCCTAATCAGTCGAAAACTTGTGCAAGGACCAAACCTAATCTCTCTCAGGTGGGTGCAAGACTAACCCTAACCAGTCAAAAAAAGTGCAAGACTAACCCCTTATCAGTTGAGTGACGTAAATTTATCTTACGTCATAGTGCAAAGAGCGCGCGGATCTTGCGGATCTGGGGACGGTAAAGTAAAGTCTACCCGAAATTGAAACCGATCAATCAATAAACTATAGAGATAAGCTTGGGATACAATGCAAAATTGACACCACATGTATCATAAACTTTATCTCTTTCTTTGTCAGATAACACATAAGTGTAAATAATGTACTTAATCTTGTCCGCTGTAAAGCCCGAGTCAGTATAATTTGACAATGCTTTATTCAAGTACGTCATGCACAGATATCTCAATATAGTGAAAGCTACAAAAAAATATACGAATCATAAGCTGACAGCCTTAAACTTGATGGACAGTATATCTTGACACTACGAAATATGGCGCAAAAAGTTCATATGTATATGATGTACTAGTTTTACATTAACTACAGTTTTAGATCGCTAATTATCACTGACACTGTCAAATATATGTAATACAGGTGACTCTCGATGGCTCGAACTCCGATCTCTCGAAGTTCTCGATCTCTCGAAGTGAACCTCCGGTTCCGTTTTTTTTCTCTATATAACTAAGCAAATTTACTCCCGATCTCTCGAACTTCCGATCTCTCGAAGTTCTCTATCTCTCGAACCAAAAATGCGTCCCATTACACTTATTTCATTGAATTTTACTCTCTATCTCTCGAAGTTTTGATTTCTCATACAATCAAGCGTAAAATTAACGCAGCGTGGACTTACCTGGATAACAATGAACACCTGGGGCTGGCATAGACGTGTTAATTGGGTGTTTACATATATGACACTTCACCTGTGAGATGTCTGAGTGCTGATATAATTAATTGGTCAATTATAAACAAAACGCTTCATAATTTATTTTGACTTGGTATCGAGACGATAATTTTGAGAAAATAATTTAGAGACGTGTCAATAATTTCTCATAAATTACGAATTTTTATTTGATTCTACACAATGCTAGTATGGCAACCATTGCACAAGAAATCCTATCTCAAGAACTGAATAGTGATACCGAGCAATCTGGTGAAGGACCCGGTCAAGCCGGGGGGATAACCAGATCGGTATCTGCTATTCAGGAATCCATTTTACGCCAAATACCCTCTAAGCGTAGTAACTCCGAGCAATCTGGTGAAGGACCCGGTCAACCCGGGGGGATAGCCAGGTCGGGGATTACAACGCCTAATGCTAAGTCTGCATTAGGAGGCAAAGGTGTGAAACGGAAATTGAATGTAAAGACAATAGAAACGAAATACGAGGCGATCACTGCGGTAGAAAAAAATAGAAAAGTCAAAGACAGCCATTGCCAGAGAATTTGATGTTCCCCTTAACACCCTCTCTACCTGGCTAAAAAATAAAGAAAGCATCATTGATGCATTTCATCAATTCAACCCTAAACGGAAAAACACAAAATCCGCTACCTTTAACGATGTAGAATCGGCCACATTGAAATGGTTTAAGTCAGCCAGAGACAAAAACGTCCCCATATCTGGCCCTATGCTATCCACTAAAGCCGAGGAATTTGCCGAGAAATTCAACATCACAAATTTCAAGGCATCTAGTGGCTGGCTTGAGAAATTCAAATTTCGACAGGGCATCTCATTTAAGAGAGTTTGTGGGGAGGAGAAATCGGTAGATTCTCAGTCTGCCGATATGCTCCTATGGAAAGAAAAGTTACCAATAATACTACAGACATACTCCCCAGATGATATTTACAACGCAGACGAGACCGGCATTTTCTTCAGAATGCTACCAGACAAGACCCTAGAATTTAAGGACGTTGACTGCCATGGTGGAAAAAAGAACAAAGAAAGACTGACAGCTATGGTCTGCGCCAATATGAGCGGTGCAGATAAGCTTCCCTTACTTATCATCGGAAAATCGGCAAATCCATGATGCTTTAAGCACGTGAAGTCATTACCAACAGAGTACCATGCCAACAAAAAAGCCTTGATGACTTCCGACATCTTCAAAGAATGGGTGAAGAAGCTTGAGAAGAAGATGAGGAAGAAGAAAAGGAAGATTGCCTTGATTGTTGACAACTGCCCCGCCCATCCAAAGATTCCTGGCCTCCAAGCAATCGACCTAGTGTTCCTGCCCCCCAACACTGCCTAAAGACCCAGCCCATGGACCAAGGCATAATTCAGAGTCTCAAGGTCCAGTACCGGAAAAGAGTTCTCCTGAAGTACATCAACGCCATTGACAAAGGACAGACACCAACTATCAGCATCTTAGACGCCCTACATCTCCTCAGCCAAGCATGGGACAACGTTACAGTATCCACAATCAGCAACTGCTTTCGACATGCTGGATTCGCTACCCAGAACGACAACGCAACCCCAGATGAAGATGAAGACTTCGACATAGAATACAGCATTCCCCTAGCGACTCTAAGGGCACATGGACTAAACCCAGAAATGCTCCAGGCATTTACAACTATCGACGACGAGATCGAGACCTGTGCCGACCTTAGTGATAATGACATTGTAGAGGAAGTCTTGATGAAGAAAACTACTGAACCCATGAACGAATCAGAGACAACTGACGATCCAAGTGAGCCCCTTATCCAACCCCCTAATTCAGAGGACACCGAGGCAGCGTGTGAGCTTGTGAGGCAATACCTAGTGTGCCGTGAAAACAGCCAAGACATTTTGCGTCACATGAATGTGATTCTTGACACTGTACGCAGAAACAATATTCTTAAGAAGTCGGTCCAGCAGTCACGAATTACAACTTTCTTCCAGAAGAAGTAAAGTGATGATGTGCTTTGTGTAAACTCTATGTCAATTTATGTAGTGTGACGTGACTCGGTGAAACAGATCAGACATTATTTATTACACATTTATTATATGTTACTGAAAAGATCCCCCACAGCTCAAAGTGAAGGTCCAAATTTTAGCCTTCACAGGCAACTGATGGCTTCTCAGTATGAATAAAAAATTCTCGAAGGAACAACAAGAGGCCCAAGGGCCTTGAATCGCTCTTCTGATAAACTGTACAACCTATCACTTCTATTTGAAGCCTCTAAGTATCCTGTATATTTAGATAAAGACTTGAAATTCCAAAGGTAGGTCAGCATAACCTACATTTAAGATGAAACACTGAGAACCCAAGATGATTCTAAGCCAATTAGTACCTGAGAGTAGGTCATGGTGACCTACTGATCACTTGTCTTTGTCTTTCTCTGAGGACCCGAGATGCTTCATCTAAGTTTGATGATTCTAAACCAATTAATACCCAAAATATTTTTAAAATTATTACCATAAAATTTCAAAAGTAGGTCATAGTGACCTACTTTTCAGATGACATACTTTGAGGACCCAAGATGCAATAAGTATCTGATATATTTAAATAAAGCCATAAAATTTCAAAAATAGGTCACAAAGACCTCCTTTTCAGTCGACAAACTCTGTGGACACAAGATGCATCAACTGACAAGGTTTGGTGATTCTAAGCCAATCAGTACCTGAAAAATATTTAAATAAAGCAACAAATTTCAAAAGTAGGTCACAGTAACCTACATTTCAGTCAACTTACTCTGAGGACCCAAGATGCATCAACTGACAAAATTTGATAATTCTAAGCCAATTAGTACCTTAATTATTTAATTTAAGCCATAAATTTTCAAAAGTAGGTCACGGTGACCTACTTTTCAGGTGTTGTACTCCGAGGACCCAAAATGCATCAACTGACAAAGTTTGATGATTCTAAGCCAATTAATACCTGAAATATTAAATACAGCAATATAAATTTTCAAAAGTAGGTCACTGTGACCTACTTTTCAGTCAACCTACTCCAAGGACCCAAGATGCATCAACTGACAAAGTTTGATGATTCTAAGCCAATTAGTACCTGAAATATTTAATTAAAGCCATATAAATTGAAAAGTAGTTCAAGGTGACCTACTTTTTAGTCGACCTACTCCGAGGACTCAAGATCCATCAACTGAAAATTTTGATGATTCTAAGCCAAATAGTACCCGAAAATATTAAATACAGCCATAAAATTTCAAAAGTAGGTCACAGCGATCTACTTTTCAGTTGACTTTTTCGAGGACCCAAGATGCATCAACTTACAAAGTTTTATTATCATAGGCCTTAAAATGTCCAAGTTATGCCTCTAAAACGCTTTGAATCTTAATGCCTATAAAGTTAAAAAGTAGGTCACTGTGACCTACGTTTTACTAAATATGTTTTATGGCCCCAAGATGCATCATTTTACAAGATTTAATGATTCTAAACCTCTCAGTATTCGAATTAATGACCTTAATTGTTTTGAAAAAAATTAGCCATAAAATTCAAAAAGTAGGTCAAGGTGAACTACTTTTTAGTTGACGTACTCTAAGAACCCAAGATACATCAACTGTCAAAGTTTGATGATCATGGGCCTTAAATTGTTTAAAATATGCCTCTAAATCATTTTGAAAAAGAATGGCCGCAAAATTTAAAAAGTAGGTCACCGTGACGTACTTATGAGTCAACATGATATGAGGTCCTTAGATGCATCAACTGACAAGATTTGATGATCCTAGTCCTTATAGTAAACAAAATATCAACATTTTAATAAAATGTAATTTTTGGTCAATTTTGAAGTGACCTTGAGACCACGCCCTTTGCCCCAGGGTGATTCCCCGTGCAAATTTTAATCTACAACATATCCTCATCCTTTTGTGTAAGTTTGGTGATAATCTGCCCAGTGGTTCTTGAGAAGATTTTTAAGCAACAAGTACTTTTGTTTGTATTTTCCTAATTATCTCCCCTTGTTTAAGGGTCACAACCCTAGTTTTAGTATAAACGGGTGCCCTTGGGCCAAGGATATCCTGTGACAAATTTGACAATAATTGGCCAAGGGGTTCTTGAGTTATGGCCCATATTCTAAAATGTTTACGCACAAATGGCCATAGCATTAGCTCTTTGAGCCTTTGGCTCAGAAGAGCTAATAAACAAACATTCATTTTCCAAAACGAATTTTCTTAATGAGTCTGTTTTCCTTTTAATTGTTTGTCATATTTCAATATTAGGACGTTCTTAACCGTTAATTTGCGTTTTGTCTATTGAATATTGCATTCTCCCGATCTACTCTCGAAATTCGGCCCCATTCCCAATTGTTTGTTTGTTTGTTTGTATGTTGTTTAACGTCCCTCTCGAGAATTTTTCACTCGTATGGAGACGCCACCACTTGCCGGTGGAGAGCTGCAAATTTTGTCCTATACTCGGCACTCACGGCCATTGAGCAATGAGGGATCTTTTTCGTGCCAGCACCTACTGCGACACGGGACCTCGGTTTATACGGTCTCATCCGAAAGACCGGTCTCCACGTCCCACAGTGGGATTCGAACCTGCGACGTAACATTCCCAATTGAAAATGAGTTCTGTTTTTTTTTCAATTTGGCAGTATTTTTTCCCAATCGGTGAACAATGCTGTTACATTTAATTATCTTGGAAAAACACAAAGTAAAATTGTCAGATTTTCTGTAATTTTCACCTATTTAACACATTTAGAAAAGTTACAGTCATAACGCATGTTCAAAAACACTGTAAAAACATCGCCAAATTTTAATCCGAATTTCCTCAGTTTTTCCGAAAATAGTGATATTGTGTAATTATATAGATTTATTAAGCTATTTCCACCTACTCAATTGATCTTCGAGTGAATGGTAAGGACAAAGGTATTATTTCAGATAGAAAAATATATTTTCAATGCATTAATACATATTAAAAGAGAAAATGTGTACTTGGTATATTTTTTTGCAGGAGGTATATAATCACCAGAAACAGATTCGATAATGATCTAAATTGGAATTTCATACATCTAATAATTTCATATTTAATTGTTTGTTTAATTGCCCAAATTAGAGTTCATGTTATCAATTACACCTGAATACATGCTTTAAGCAACATTTATAATTTTTCCCAATTTCATCAAATAGCCGATAATTTTTTTCCAGTTTCCCAAAATAGGCAAATAAATCCCTGTCTCAAATAGCTTGTTTGCCTTTAAAAATCAGAAGTATATAAAGTTGTAGACAAAAAGGAATCAGTTGAATTCTGATTTCTCTTTTAATTATAAATTTTTAATTATAAATTTATCTTCACAAACATAAAAGAAAGGTTTAATGAATGTGGAAACATTAAATAAGATGTTTGACCTCTATCAATGTTTCGTATAGTATGTCATATATTCTTTCATTTTTTTTTTTATCCAAAGTAAAAATTCCATTTCTGATTCCTATTGAATAGTCCTCCACAATATCAGCGTATGGAGTTTGATAAAAATATTTTAAATGGTTTCTTTTAAACGGATCTTAACACTAATTAAAGATGTTAGGTCAAGGTGAAAGGAAGGGTCAAGGTCACTAAATGTTGATGCGGTTTTTGAATAGCCCTCCACAATATCTTAAATATTTTTTTAAACTTAGTTTAACCCTAATTCCGTAAGAAATAGATCAAGGTCAAATAAAAGGTCACAAAATGTTGATGCAGTTGCGTAGCGCTTATTGATATGCATCAGATAATGGAAGTTGATAAAAATATCTTGAATAATTTCTTTGAATATGAACTTAACTCAAAGTGTGACGGAAGGACGGACATGACAAACACTATATGCCCCGGCCATATTCATGGCGCGGCATAAAAAAGTTTATGTACAACAGACAGCAAATTTTTATGGAGAATTAATTATCTGGTGCATGATTTACGGACTGAAATCTCAATCCTGTTGCTCCTTACCTCTCAGGGCAGTTCTCCTAGAGCTCCTAGAGTTTTTTTTTTCTGGCATCTTTATCTATAATTATGCAATACGTATGTAAGCATATCACCGTAATGCTCTTCTTGAAACAATATACTAAAGTTTTAACCATTTGTAATGTGCAGTATGTTATTAGCGAACATTGTTATTTGAAAATATAGAACACAATGTGTACTTCGTGGTTGGAAAAAAAAATCACCAAATTTACAAATGTGTGAAGCAAGGATATTGGAAGTTCTATTTAATCAAACATTGTATAAATTTATTAAAGAATGGGTGGACTTCAGTGTCTTGAAAATAGGCCATGAATTGAAGCTTTATAAAATGTTTATTTCTTTCCATAATAGAAATCACCGATATTGTGTATTCTTGCTACAAATATGAATTCGAGGAAAACCAAATAAATATCGAAGGCTTGGGGCTCGAGGATTTCTTGTATATCAGTAGATAATCAGGGTCATATATTTTTCATCGTCTGAATACATAGTCAGCGCATGTTTGTCGGCTGTTCTGAAGAAAACTTTTTTTTTGGAACAAAATAATGTCATATTAAATGGAGATGAGAAGACAAACTTGCCCTCGTACTTAATTTTACAAAAACATGTTCAAAACAAACTTCTTGCTTCCATTGTTATGACTTTGTTAACCTTGATTTGACTTCTATTGACGTGTTGAATATTACAATTCATCACGTAATGTTCAACTGCGAGAGTACTTGTGAAAACAACTACATTGTATTCTTTAACATGGCCTCGATCTAAATCACCTCGAGCGTGTTTGGTTGGTCTGCCATTTTCAGAATTTAGTAAATTAAATGTTAAATTTTTGAGTGTCCTCACAATATCTACTAGAGAAATCTATTAATTTCAGATTGACATCGCTATAATATGCCATACACATATTCGAGTTTCTAGAGAGGAATGTCGGCAATGACGCCGATCGATAGCTCCTATTAATATTGAATATGTTATCTAAATACTACTCAGGGTACTTGTCAAATGACGGT